TTGGTGAGATGCACATAAATTGGAACCCCCATCTACCCTTAGTGGGAATGTAAAATAATATTGCCACTTTGGAAATGAGTCTGATAGTTCCTCAGATGGTTAAATGTAGAATTAACCATTTGACCTGGCAACTTTGCTCCTGAAATGTATAACTACGAGAAGCAAAAACACATATCCATATGAAACCTTGTATATGAATAAGCAGCCTTATTCATAATAGCTAAAAAGTGAAAACACTCAAAATGCCCAACAGCTGATGAATGAATGAACAAAACACATGTAGTATATTTATATCATGAAATTTTTTTTTTGAGTTGGAGTCTCACTCTGACGCCCAGACTGGAGTGCAGTGGCCGCTCCTGGCCACTGCAGCCTTGACCTGCTAGACTCAGGTGATCCTTCCACCTCAACCTTCTAAGTAGCTGGAACTACAGGCGTGCGCTACCACGCCCAACTAATTTTTTAACTTATTGTAGAGATGAGGTCTCGCCAAGTTGCCCAGGCGGGTCTCAAACCCGCGGGCTCAGGCAATCTACTCACCTCAGCCTCCCAAAGCGAGGGATTATAGGCTGAGCCACCAAGCCTGGCTTTTATCATGAAATATTATTCAGAGAAAAAAGAATGAAGTTCTGCCGGGTGCGGTGGCTCATGCCTGTAATCCCAACACTTTGGGAGGCAGAGGCAAAGGAATTACCTAAGCTCATGGGTTCAAGACCAGTCTGGGCAACATTAGCTGGGCATGGTGGCACGTGCCTGTAGTTCCAGCTACTGGGGCGGCTGAGGCAGAAGGATCGTCTGAGCCCAGGAGGTCGAGACTGTGGTGGTCGTGAGTGTGCCATTGCACTCCAGCCCGAGTGGCAGAGTGAGACTCCAACTCAAAAAAAAAAAAATCAGGTTCTGATGCACGCTAAGACAGAGAGGACCTTGAAAACATGCTAAGAGAAAGAAGTCAGACATAAAGGCTGCATGTGGCATGATTCCATTTATTTATATGTAATATCCAGAATAAATAAATCTATGTAGACGAAAAGTAGATGTTTGGTTGCCTAGGGCTAGGGGGAGGTGAAAGAGAATATGGGAAGTGATTGCTGATGGTTTCTTTTTGGGGTGGTGAAAATTTTGTTTGTTTGTTTGTTTGTTTGGAGTTGGAGTCTCACTCCGTCGCCCAGACTGGAGTGCAGTGGCCTCTCCCGGCCCCTGCAGCCTCGACCTGCTGGGCTCTGGCGATCCTTCCGCCTCAGCCTTCCGAGTCGCTGGAACTACAGGTGCGCGCTACCACGCCCGGCTAATTTTTTGATTTATTGTAGAGATTAGCTCTCGCCAAATTGCCCAGGCAGGTCTCGAACCCGCGGCCTCAGGCAATCCATTCACCTCAGCCTCCCAAAGGCGTGGGATTACAGGCTGAGCCACGGAGCCCGGCTCGAAAATTTTTTTTTTGAGTTGGAGTTTCTGTCGCCCAGGCTGGAGTGCAGTGGCACACTCATGGCCACCCCAGCGTCGACCTGCTGG